TGTCTCTCTGTCTCTCTCTGTCTTTCTGGTGAGCACACCCGCCCTATGGCAAAAACCTCTCCAAAAAAAAAAAAGAAAAGATATTTTACAATGCAAAGATTTAACTTTAGATGAACACTGCACTGTGGGAAGCTGACTAGTGTCATTCAAAATGGAAATAATGTTAAAGTATAAATTGTAAACAATTTAAGAAGTTATGATAACAACTAACATATGTGAGAAGAGAGAGGCTGTGATTAAGGAAGTGTCTTTTCTTCCACAACTTATAACTAAGAAAACCTGAAATTTAACCTGGTATTTGCAATGCTCTGGTTACTCAGCAGCATTCTATTTTGTGAAATTATTGCCAAGAAAACGTACCTAAATCTTGAGTTACTGACTGTTCTTGCATCTGATTGGAAGGGGCATCTGAGTTGTTCGTGTAAGGTAAACAGATCCAAGGCTGCACAGATGAAGGTGGAGGCTTGGGGAGGGTTTCAGTCAGGGAAGGGAAGCTTCCTAGACATTACAGCTCGGTCCAGAGGCCAAATGGAAGATAAATCACCACTGGCCACCTCTCTTATTATTGAAATGGTTCAGCCCTGGGGTTTAACTGAAGGACTAACAGGGTTTTGAAGTGCAAATAGGATGATGAAGGGTAAACCCTTTTAGGGTTTCATTTTGATGGATTTTTTTTTTTTTCCTATGTGGATTTCTGGCACTGACTGTGATCTGGAAGGGGGTCCTTAAAAAAGGAAAGTTTTGTTTTGTGTTTGGTCAATCAGGCAATAAGAACTTTCCACAGGGGTGTACTTTTCCTGCATGCATATTGATCCCATTGTGTTTTAAAGTAGGTCATTTACTTGAGTCTTCGGCAGTGAAACTGTCATTTCAAGGTCACATCTCTTTCTTGATATTAATACCAAAGTTTCAGAGTGCTGAACCATGTGCTACTTTTGGATCAATCCGTAGTTTTTGGAGGATTACTTAAGGCCAGTGTGTGTTAAACAAAGTCCTCTAGTTAAAGATCAAGTCCCTAGAACAACTCTTTTATAATAGTGATAAGCATTTTATAATAACTCAGTCTTCTTCCATTAAATAATAAAATTGTGCATAGTCACTTAATTATTTTGTATACATTCCATTTTGCCAGCAGTTTAAATAAATAAAAAAAAGAACACTCTGAGATTGTGAAATATTATGAGATGTTATTTGTAAAGATACACTGTAGTGTTGGAGGACATAGGAAGACTTAAAAGTGTTTAAATAAGTGATATGTTGATTTAGTAAATTGAAAAAGTATTTTAGCCTCTCCCCCCCCAAAATAATTCAAATATAAAAGAATAAAATAAAATACCTTTAAAAAGATGTGTTTTTATAAAGCAGTGATGAGAGGAGTCAGCAATAACCCCAAAGAAAAATGGCTGTAGCATAATTGAAACTTTTAAAGAAAAATTAAAATATTTCTATTAAAGAAATGTCATTGTAATGCTTATATGTCTTCTTAAAAATATCATTGATGAAATTTTTCTTGAACATTTTGGCTCTTTACTTTAAACATAACATAAACATTTGTATTACTTGCCCTTTTCAAGAATAATATATTTAGCTGCAGCAGAGCTTTCTTCTTGTGTTCCTTGAGACCATCATAAAAAACAAGTTGTTAATCTCCATAATTAACATTGATCCACGGTGTTGTTAACTGACCTCTAGGTGGTTTTGTTTTATGTGCTTCAAATGTTTCCCTATATGGTATTTATGTAAATGTTAGAGGTATATTCACTTTCTATTGTTGTATGATTATTTTAAATGAAATGTTTTAAACACTACCACCACCAACAAAACCCCCAAACCCTCGATGGCATCAGACAGAGTCCCTTGCATCTACAGCATCCCTGTCATTAGTTTGTTGCTGGGAGATGTTAATATGACCTTTCCTTTGTTAGACAAGAGATCTGGAGCCTTCCCAGAATCCTCTTGTTAACTGTCTTTTTAACCCAAGTTGGAGGTTGTCTGATGAATGAAGGGTGAGCTTTTTTATGAGCTAGACATATTGTTGACATTGTCACATGTTGCTTTTTAAATTTCTAATGTGTTTTTAATTTGCAAAGCATGTGTGTCCCTTTCACAGCAGTGAATCGAGTCAGCATTTCTGAATCTACATACTGCTTTATGCAAACAGTAAGGGACAGGCTTAAGAATGCTGCATCTTCATGGCCTCACATTTTCTGAAACACATGTGACTGAATTTTACTTTGAATATTATTGAATAAAAGAAGATAGCTGAGGAAGGCTTTTTTCCCAAGAACTTCTCTTGCCTCTTGGCAAGTGAATTGCCCCAATATAAGGGGGTAGTTGAGTTACAGAGTGAAAAGGCAATCCACAAATAATCACTCTTTTCTGCCTTTGATTGTGTCAGATTTTTTTGTGTGTGTGGCAATTGTTTTCTTTTTCGCTTAGAAGAGGTTTATGGTCCAGTGTCTGTCAAGTCAGCCCCTGTCTTAAGGTTGCAGTTGTATTTCTCTCTGGAGTTCCTGGAGGTGATGTTATCTTTTGTTCACTCAGCAGTGTGGTCGTTCCTGAGAGCATCTGTCACTTTAGGCATTACAAGATGGATGGGTCTCCAGTGAACTGCTGGTTGAAGCAAATGGTGAAAATAAGAAAAGACAAGGGGGTTCAGGGTCTGTGGAGGGGACAGACAACAAGGAAACACTGTTAGAAATCAAGAGTAAGCTGAGCAATAGAGGAAGAAAGCAAAGATGGATCAGATGTCATTTTATAAACATCTTGGAAATCAGAGTCTTTTGATGGCTATCACGAGAGACTGAGAGAGACATCTGCACAATGGTAAACAATCTGTGGTTTGGATTTGCAGTATGTGGTTGGACGTTTGAACAGAAAGTCTGGGGAAAGTGTTGGGAAAATAACAATAATGTTATAAGATGTTTTGTGTGAGGATTTTGCTATTTGATAAATTAGCAGCCTTTTAAAATTGTTTAAAGATTAAATTGAAAATCTTACCTTTAAATTTTTCTATTTTATTTTCTCTTTTCTTTCTTCTTTTCTTTTTGTAAGCAGTAGCAATGATAGATATTAAAATATTTGCCAAGTTTTGTCCACATAGCTAAAATTCTGATTGTTTACTGAAGCTCTTTGGCATTTTGTGAGAGAATTCTGAAAATTCTATGCTCGTGCATTAAGGAGGCTAGGGGTAGATTTCAAGTCATTGGAACTAATGGCCAACTTAACTTAATGGGCTCTTTGGGTCAAAGAAAGAATATAATTATTATTAATCTGTCAGAACAAGCTGGAGTTTTATATTGTATTTAGAAATTTATTTTGCTGCTGAAGGTCAAAATGTGTATATTCTGACTAAGACAAAGTCTCTGCTATGTAAGACAGATAGGCAAGAGGTTGGCTGGGGAATGAAAAGGGAAAAGAGAATGCAGTGATGTGATTGAAAAAATGATTTTGTCAAGCTTTACGACATTCGTCTATGAAAAAGACCATAGTTTGAGAGGCAGAGAAATGAAGATGATTAGAAGCTTTAAGCTATACAAATGGTAGAGTATCTTCCTTCTCTATGGGTGTAAATAATAGATGAAAGAGTAAGAGTGACAACAAAGGATCAGGTCGTTTAAGAGAATGTGTGCAGCCTGAATAGGGGTCTGTGGCCCAGGGCCAAAGGTCTTAGCTTTGAGTGTAATTAGAAGAAAATACAAAAATGTCATTACTAGCAGGTGAAGTGTGTAGCACGTGGCCAAAAATTAGCAATTTTAGACTTCGAAGCTATTGGAATTGGATTACTGACCTTCTTTTTAAATCATTAAGGTCCTTGTGGAGTCATATAGTTTCATTGGTAGTAATGCAGTTTGACCTTGTTGACCACATGGGTAATCTTGGGTTTGTATGTAGGGAGCAAGGCCCCTGACTTAGTTAGACAACATGTCTATTTTTGTGTGAGTTGGTGGAGAATATGTTTGAAAACCGGGGTCTTGCATTTTTAATTATTTAGCCTGAAGATGTCATTCGGGTAGTAAGAGAAGTAAGGTTAATATTTTTTATTCCAAAATCTAAAATGGTTCTTTTCTTTCTGAAGTTGGCATAAAGGGAAAGTAGAATGAAAACCATCATGATTCATTAGAAAACATAAGTTAATATTATTTCAAATATTTAGTGCTATAAATATTTATACTGGAATTAGTACCTCCTATTTTAAAAATCCTCTTTCATTTTCTTTTTAGACACAATAACAAAGGATATGTCTATGTGTAAAAATCGATGACAAGAAGTTTTTATTTCACTTTCTGCTTTATAACTGTATTTCTTGTTTTTCTATGCTGTAGTTTATATTCACCATAATCAACTTAGAGGAGAGAATGATATGCATGCTATAATTTTCAACCAACTATAAGTAATTATAGTTAGTTTAATAAAGTCCAGGAAATTATTACTCAAAAATGTAGGAAAGTAGGTCTTTTTTTTCTTGTAGGCCTCCTTAGAAATTACTAAAACATTAATTTCAAGAAGTAAAAGAAACATTTTAATCACTATTAGTTTACATTTTTACTAAATGTAAAAATTAATATTATGTATTTGAATAGTTCTTTGATTAGATAGTTTTGTTTATGTATCAGGGATTATACTCTTCAACTGCTTAAAATAAGAAAATTACCTTATGCTAATTTCATTCCTAAAAGTAAAAATAGTCAGTGAAGGTTAGCATTGTGGCAATACTTATCAAAAAATACAAACCTGACAGACCTTTTCAAGTTATATTTGGGGGGGTTAAGACTATCAGAAATTTTTTTTATATCTATTATTAACAAGTGATTATTTGGGGAGTATTAGAAATGAGGACTGTCTGAATCTTTTCCAGTTATGATGTGTATGGCATTGCATAAGATGATCTATTTCTAATTATGATATTTTTAAAATCATGAATATTTGTTGTATTATAGAAGATAATACATTTCTAAATGGTCTTTATGTATATATTTCTATTTTTTATGTTCTTGCAGGTGCAGAAAAGCTTCAAACAAGTTAAAATTTAGGCATCAGGCTCCCTGAAGTGTCGACTGCTCAACTTAATCATGAACGTGATACAAAAATGTTAATAAATAAACCAAGGTATTGTGTAATGATATATTCCCTCCCCCCACAAAAAATGTTCAAGATCAAATTTGTTTTAGCAAGTTATATTTAGAATTTAAATAGACCTCACTTTATTTGGTCCTGAAACTGATTTAAGGAGCTATTTCTATGAACTCTCCATTTCCTTTCTTGCCTACTTTCCTCTCCCCTCCCCCATCCTCCCTAAGCTTCCCAAACTTATTCAGCACTAAGTCTACAACAGCCTCTGTATTTCCTATATTCCTAAATTAAGAAAACAAGAATTCTGATTTTGATTCTCCTTTACTGAGTGTGATTTTTCTCTTTCAAATGGACTAATAAAAAGAGGCTTCTTAATTATTGACCTCTGTGCAAACCCAAACCAAATCTAATGATTGCATGTATTTACACTTTGTCTCGTACAATACTATCCTGTTATGTATGTTATAAAGGTTTTGTGAAGGTATTTTTCAATTTTAGAAGTCTTTCAATTTAGAAAAGGGAAAAAGGTGACAGTGCCTCCTTTTCAAAGAATACCAACAGCTTGCTTAGAATTAAGAATTTAGGGCTACCGTTTTAGGTAACTCGCATCTATCAGAAGGGGTATAACCCAGCAATGCCTTTTCCTTTTGGAGGTTACAATGTGCTTAAATAGCCTGGCATTTCCAAGGAAGGCCAAAGATCTTTTCCTTTTTTTTTTTTTTTTTTCCTCTTTTATGACCCGTTGTATCCTTTTTGAGGCCAAAAAGAACAAGAGATTCATCGTCACTTCAGTTTGGTCCCTGTTTGTTCCTTCATGGTGATGGTGAAGGAAGATACTGAAACCGGTATTGGGTTAACGTTTGGGCCTGGCTGGAACATCTGGAAAATAGTCAGAGAGGGAAAGGAGGAGGCAGAAGAAAGAGAGAGAACTGTTGCATTTTGTTTCACCAGGTGCTAGGAGGAAGCAACATTAGCCTTTTTGATATGGGAGGCAAATTCTGTGGGCCCGGGAGTTAGGCTTCAACAATTGAAGAGGTCAAAGGACAGCTGAGTGGGGTCAGAGAGACACCATGGGGTGTATTTTGTTACTTAGTAAAAGGAGCAGCCTCCTAAAACCTTAAAGGATTCTCTTGAAAATCTGTGTTGTGAAAAGGTTTTATGAGTCTAATGGCAAAAACTCCTGATTTATCTAAGGAATGCTCGCTTTTGTCTAATGGAAGGATAATCCTTACCAAATGTTGGCAACTACTATAAGAGTCAGTATAGGTCTGAAAGAACAGTTAGGGTTTGAAGTGTACTTTGCTTTCCAAAATGTTTATCATTTTAATGTTTCTCTCTCAGCGAAGAATTTTGCACTGTTGAAATACCACCTTTTTCTTTCCTCCTAGCAGAAGAGTTGGGGGAGGGGAAAGAATGAGCCTACATTAATGTTAAAATTATTCTGCAGGCTTTTGACCTGACCCGCAAGCAGGAAATTATTACCAAGTCCTTAAAAAACATCAGAATTTGTTAACTCTAAAAAGTTACCTTTGCATTTATTTTAACTTATAAAGAGAATAAATGGCACATGGAGTGTAAAGTTTCTGGATTATCCATTTTTTACTTCAGTTATTGAGAGTTGATAGAAGAGGGCATCAGTTGATGAATAACCTTAAACCTGTTTCTTCCTGAATGTGTTTCTCATACATTTTGTAGTAGTAATAAGGAAATGTCAGAGTCAAGAATAGAGCATAAGAAAAGCCATAAGGAATTTTTTTTCTTTGAGGAAATAGAGGACAAAAACATCTGCATGTTGTGAAAGCTCTGTCACAGCCCATGACCGCAAGAAACCACTTGCATGCTGGGAGATACCTCTTTTTTTTTTTAAGTTAATTTTTTAGGATTATTTATTTATTTAATTCTGTTTGTTATTATTATCCTCCTAAAACCTTAAAGGATTCTCTTGAAAATCTGTGTTGTGAAAAGGTTTTATGAGTCTAATGGCAAAAACTCCTGATTTATCTAAGGAATGCTCGCTTTTGTCTAATGGAAGGATAATCCTTACCAAATGTTGGCAACTACTATAAGAGTCAGTATAGGTCTGAAAGAACAGTTAGGGTTTGAAGTGTACTTTGCTTTCCAAAATGTTTATCATTTTAATGTTTCTCTCTCAGCGAAGAATTTTGCACTGTTGAAATACCACCTTTTTCTTTCCTCCTAGCAGAAGAGTTGGGGGAGGGGAAAGAATGAGCCTACATTAATGTTAAAATTATTCTGCAGGCTTTTGACCTGACCCGCAAGCAGGAAATTATTACCAAGTCCTTAAAAAACATCAGAATTTGTTAACTCTAAAAAGTTACCTTTGCATTTATTTTAACTTATAAAGAGAATAAATGGCACATGGAGTGTAAAGTTTCTGGATTATCCATTTTTTACTTCAGTTATTGAGAGTTGATAGAAGAGGGCATCAGTTGATGAATAACCTTAAACCTGTTTCTTCCTGAATGTGTTTCTCATACATTTTGTAGTAGTAATAAGGAAATGTCAGAGTCAAGAATAGAGCATAAGAAAAGCCATAAGGAATTTTTTTTCTTTGAGGAAATAGAGGACAAAAACATCTGCATGTTGTGAAAGCTCTGTCACAGCCCATGACCGCAAGAAACCACTTGCATGCTGGGAGATACCTCTTTTTTTTTTTAAGTTAATTTTTTAGGATTATTTATTTATTTAATTCTGTTTGTTATTATTATTTTTTAATTTACCCAGAGGGGTAGAGAGAGAAAGAAAGGGAAAGTGAGACAGCAAGCTGCCAGGTACGAGACTCGAACTGTAGTCTGCCATATGGGAATCTAGCGCCTTTCACTACCACGCCTCCTGCTGGCCCCTTGCTGGTAGATACGGTTAAAAGGTACAGGGCACCTGGCAGATAGGTAATGAAAGGAGACTATTAACGGAATTTGACTGTATTTTGATACTGCAACTTACATACTATATATAGGTACATATGTGACTAGATAGGAAGAACGAATATATTACAATATGTACATATGTATAGTAAGGGGGAGAAGTTAAAACAATGAAGGGTGTGCAATGGGGTATGTAAACATTTTCTTCCTAGTTTATAAATGTACAGTATTTACTAACTACTATGTGTGTGACTTTCTAAATAAGTCCTCTTGTATATAAACATAAGACTTATCACACAGCAGGCTCCGTTTCTAGTTTCTCAAGGTTAAAGTACCTTTCAACAACTCATTTAGAACCCTAAGTGTAGTGACTGATAATTGCCTAGAGAAAACCTTCAGCCGTTTAAGTAGCATTGAAATTGTGGCAAAAGTGCCAAATACAATTAAGAGTGTTTATAAAAAAAAAGGTGGAAAGATGGGGCAGATGACAGAATGGACAGATGAAGGGAACAGGAGTAACAAATCTTACAAGAACACAATGTTCACAGTTGCTTTGAATTTCCAGTGCGTTTTCTTTTAAGCTAAATCTCCCTCTTTAACTCCTCTCAGAATTATCAGCTCAGTGTATGTTTTGCAAGTTAAATCATTCAGATACATTTGTTCAGCCCCTAACTCAACATCTGATTTTGAAAGAAGTTAGCTGTTTGGCAATAGTATTTATTTTGCCATCTTAGGCACATTTTATTTAAAGTGCCTTAAAAAAAAAAAAAAAAACTTTGTTATTTGTTATTTATTTTTCCAATTTTAAAAATTATTTATTTATTTACATTTTCTCACAAACACTTACTTTACATGTAAAACATTTTTGCTCAGATTCCATAGTTCTTGAGGGTTAAGAAAAGAATTTCAAATTTTCAAGAAAACCCTGAATTTTAAAGATAACTTTTGAAATATTTGTTATAATTTTGTTTGTGACTCTATAACAGATTCAGTATGGTTTTAAGTATTTTTGTACAGTGCTTTTTAAAAGGTCAGTTTTAAATGTATTTCTATTTTATTATAATTACTATGAGTGGGAATTTCTTTATCTCTCTTTGCTCTCTTATAATTTTTAGTAGTCCAGGTACATTACAAAGGAGACCTTGTTTTTGCATTTAGTGACCTATCATTACCAAAACCAAAACCAAACCTAAAAAACTTTAGAAGTCTTTCATGTGTTATTATTAATTTTGTTTATCTGATTAGTGTTCCTAGACAAACAACTTCTTAGGAATACTAAATGGGTATAGGTAAATAAAAGAAATTAGGTGTGTGCTATGTAAAAAATACTTCTTTGTGCTTTTCCCACTATGTTTTCTAAAGTCTCAGATGAACTTTTGGGAAATTACCATCGTATCTTTGGAAATTCTATTCTGCATTTGGGAAATTGGTTTTTGCCTCCGGTGTTTTATGCAGATTTTAATGATTGTTGTGATAAATCTCCAGAAGTTTGTTCCCTGAAACCATGGAGACTCTGGGCTCCAGTGTGGCAGCCTGATGGATGTGTTGAGCCACTCTTTGGAAGCATTTCTTGTTATTTAATGTTTTCTGTTCTGGATTATTGACTCTTCTCCCTGTTGAAAAATTGGTCTCTGGTGACATGGTGGAGGTCACACGTTGCCTATTATTGTTTTGTTTCTTTGATCTTACACAGGGATTGCCTCTGGTAATTATACCAGTTTCAGAGAGTCTTGGCGAGATGTGTTTATTTTACAGAAGAATTTCTGGCATTTCAAGAAAGAAAGTAAAGATTTCCAGTAGTAACCTGTAACTCTGTGTTACCAAGGAAAAATAGCATTGCACTTGCTCTCATATTTATGACTGCTTTTAATAATTATCATGAAGTTAGTTTACATTTACAGTAATTATTTTGATAATGATTTAAAACATATCATGTAAGTGTATGTGCTTTGCTAAAAATGACATTTTAGATGCTGGGATTCATTTTAGTACCTAAACTACTTTTAACTTTCAAAATTCAGAAGAGATCCATCCAAATTGAAATGTACAGAACCATTAAAGGGGGGTGAAAATCTTGTCTTTAAAGAAATCTGTTAGCATTTTCTAAACATTTTCAGCAAAAAGGCTGAATAAAAATGAAACACTTGTGTT